ACCCTTAACATATATGTACCTCACAACAGGGCATCAAACTATTTGAGACAAAAACTGATAGTAGAACAAGGGGAAATAGAAAAATTCACTGCTATGGTTGAAGACTTCCACACACCTCTGTCAGTCATTGATAGATCTATTAGGCAGAAAAAGAGCAAAGATATAGTTGAACTGAATAGCACTATCAATCAACTTGATCTAATTGACATTTATAGAGAAAGAAGTCTCAGCGATTCCAATGGGGGTGTGAAGTTAGAGCATCTCCTATTCACCTTATCTTGCTGGTGAGAGAGTGAGAGAGAGAGAGAGAGAGAGAGAGAGAGAGAGAGAGAGAGAGAGTTGTATCCAGCCCTACACTGGGCATAATACTGAAAGAATGTGTGGGTTGAACTAATATTTATTTCACCTGAGTGTTTAAAATATTCTGATGCCTTACCTATAGTTATTGTTAAAAAGGTTCTTTTTTAACTCCATATACCACTAGAGAACTGACGTTGAGCCTTTGCCTATTTTCTGGTGCCATGTTACCCACTGGCAAGACTCCTTGCTGTTATACATGTTTGGAATTACATACACTCACTACTTAATTCAAAGGGTGCTGACAAACCCCACTTGTACCGACAGGAAACCCCCACTGTTGGCTAGGCCTGCTGCATGGGCTGTGCACCCTGAACGCTGACTGCTCAGCTGCTGTCTGATTTTAGGGTGACCTCTCTGTTTGTCCTACCATGGGCTTCACCATGGCCCAGCAGATATATCCAGGTCCAAGCTCTCCTCAGCTTTTGCTTTTCTGAGCCTTCCATACTTCACTCTTTCATTCAAAATACTTACTATTTTACCACAATTGAAAATTGAGAACCTTACAATGAGTCTCTTTGAACAGAAACTGTATGACGCAATAACTAGTGACCACTTTGGAAAACATTGGATTGACAATTATACAGACCACTGGCAATCAGGATTAATCCGCCACTCTTATAAAGGTTTCAGTATCTTCACAGAATGCATTCCGCCTGAAGGTACGTGAGAAAGATTCTCAGTTTTGGGCCATGTTCAACAGCAAGAAAAAAATCCAAGCAGGGAAATTTTAGTCCAATATCACCTATTCAGGACATTGTCAAATTTCATTAGAACCATAAGGAACAGCATTTAAAACCTAGGCTATGAAGGGAAATTTGGTATATATTATTATATCATGTACCTATGACCTACAATTTACTCACTTATTAGTAACAAATACATGGATCGATTATACTGAACCCATCCACTGGCCTGAAAAAGAGAAAGCTCTTTCTTTTTTATTTCCTTCACTATCACATAAAGCATGATAGTTACGTTTGTGGGTTTGGGAATAAGACAAACTTGGAATCTTACATTTCTTATCCTCTCTAAGCCTCAATTTATCATCTATGAAATAATAATAAAATGACTGGTATTATAGGGTTCTTGTGAGAAGTAAGTAAAATAGCTCATGTAGAATATTTAGCTCAGTGCCTTGCACACAAAAAACTCTCAACAGAAGTTCATTGTGTCATCATTTTCCACTCAGGAAGCCAAGGTCAAAGGTTAGAGCCCATGTGTTATATAAACTCTGGGTATAAATTAGATCATCATGTGCTCCACAGGCATGTCTGGCTTAGGAAGAGCTACTCATGCTGTTATATTTGCATTGTCAATCTATATTTTCACCCCCTTTGGCTTCACTCTCCTGATCCTGTGACTTCTCTGATACAAGCTTCACCTCAAGGGCAGGTAAGACACTCCAGCAATACCAGCAGGCACAAGAAGAAAAATTTGCCCACCACTGGATCTTCTGTCTCTCAAGATCCCAGGCTTGAGAAAACTTCATAAGTCATTTGGCTGCCCAGCCTTGCTGCTCCACATGGGGCCTTTAACATGCTCCCAATGTAAATAAGCGTTTTCTCCTCAATTTGATCTTACTTGGTATCACGGCCTAAGATTTTTCTTTTGCAAACCAGACTAAAACATGACAGAATATTTCTGCTAATCAGGAAGGAAAAAAAATCGAGAAATCAGTGCTTCCTTCGTGGCAAGGAGTATGTTTTTAGTTGTCTGTACAACTGTGGGGTCTTTGGAAAAAGCAAATGCTTACTACCATTAAAATATCTAAAGTTGATGTGGTGTATCACATTAATTGATTTGCAGATGTTGAACCAACCTTGCGTACTAGGGATGAAACCCACTTGGTCATGATGTACGATCTTAATATATTGCTGAATTCTGTTTGCTAAGATTTTGTTGAGGATTTTTGCATCTATGTTCACCATGGCTCCCAATGGAGCTTCTTCCCATAATCTGGTAGCCTTTTAAACCTGAAGCTGTGTATTTCAAAATTTACAGTGCATAAAAATCATCTGACAGTGTTTAAATGTAGTCAACAAAAAGGTATTTACTGGCGATGTGTGTCAGGCACAGAGCAGGCTGTTCCTAGCAAATACTTCCTAATTGATAGGATCACATAACTACTGGCACACTTGAGTAGCTTTTTATTCAGTCCCTATGCTATGCAAGACTGTGCTAGGTGCTTTGAGGGGTATCAGAAAAATTCAGTGTGTGTTTTCACAACCCAGACAAACCCAGATTCAAACCTCAGCTCCACTATGAACTAGCTGTGTTAGTTTTGTTTTTCCTGTTGGGGCTTGCTCTAAAGACCACATGGAAGCCTTATTTTACTGTAGATAACTCTCATGCTTGTGGGGGAGCTTACACTGTAGCCTGGATCTGATACAGGGCGCTTTCATGCTTTGGACCCTGCTCAAAACTGACAGCCTTCCATGTCACCAGGTAAATGGGCCAGAGTAGTATCACCAAGTATGAAATATCCTATCTCCAAGCCCCAGGAACCTATAAGAGACTGTGCTCCCTTCCCAGTGGTAGAAGTTAAAAAATACATTCATTTGTCCTTAACTGATTTATGGGATGTCCTAAGGGTTGTCCATGGGCCAAATCCAGCCTGCTGCCTGTTTTTTTGTTAGCAAAGTTTCAGTTTTTTCACAGCCATGACCATTCACTTATGAATCATCTATAGCTATTTTCATGCTACACTGGCAAAGTTGAGTAGCTGTGATAGAGACTGTCCTGCAAAACTTAAAATATTTACTATCTGCCCTTTTGCAGAAAAAGCTTACAACACCTGCCCTAATGCTCTGAAGACTTAATAACTTCTCTAATGTGGTAGAAATCTGAATCTTTATGGGGTGCATGTACCATCCTTGGCAGTCCATATATTTTACCAAACCGAAACATAGTTGGCAAATTCTGCTCATCTGTTCTGATTAAATACGTTTATAAGCTGGCAAGGACACCCTCTGACTTTCAACTTAGTCTTAAATCAATAATTAATCACACTTAGCCTTACCCTGTCTGTGTCCAATGCATGAATAAGACCTAGCAATGGCTATCCAATTCCATAGCCTTTCACTGACAACGGCCCTGGTACTGCTCAGTCGCTTGATGGACTGTACCACAAGAGCATTCTCATTCTTACGGTATACTTTTCAAGTTCTCCACCAGTTAAACTTTGAACAACTGCACTGCTCCGGCGTGCCAAGGCTATCGGTTCTCCACCTACTCCAGGTGGGTGATGCAACTCCCAAATTCCACTAAGTGTCTGCCTCCTAGTACTATGCCTGATACAAAGGATCGGAATCCTGAGAAAAGGAAACAGCTTTACATGTAGGAGCTCTTTTTAGGGGTGTGCACAAAAGATCATTTCCCAAAAGTGAGGAAGCCAGACTGGGCAGAGGGAGGGGTTGAGCTGTGATGTAACAGAGGTCTCAGCTTACCCCCTGAGGAGCTTTGAAGCTGTGGCTGGGTGCATCCTTCAGAAATGTCCCAATTGAGACCAGAGGCCCACATTTATGAGAAAACTGTTATTATAACTGAGGTGTTGAACTATGTGGAATATTATAAACAAATGTTACAGATATACAAACAAACACAGGGCTTGTAATTAAATTAGTGGTTCCCAGCTTTTCATTAAAACAAAATGCTTGTTTTTCAGTTTGAGTTTTGTGACCTGTTACACTAGTAAAAGTAACTAGCTTATCTTTCTACTCCATAACTTCTCGTGGAGTCATCAATAAATTTGCTGATCTGTATAAGGTACTCCATATTGTCCTAACTAACTTTAAGTCTAATAAACATGAAAATACATGTCGTTTTAATATCCCTGTACATTCTTGCTCTTATTCTGATATTGTGTGTGTTTGTGTGATATAGGTTGTTTCACTGTGCTTTTGATAGGTATTTTTCAAATATTGAAACTACCAGTGGTTTCGGAAAGTTTATACAACTCAGGTAGAAACCACTGCATTGAATAATCCCATTCATATTCAAATGAGAGAAAACAGATCTAGAAAGCAGCTATAACTTGCCTTCAGTCACAGAATCCTAGGCTTAGCTGGCGCTGGAATCCAGGTCTCCTCGTTCCGCATCTCAAAGGCCACACACATCCAGCTCTAAAATTCAATTTATGCTTTCCTAGTGCTTTCTCTACTCAAAGCTTACGCTCACACTGGAATCTCTAGGACACTTTTTAATAACTTTAAATAGTTATTTGAAAACTTCTCTATAAGTGAGTATATAAAAGTATGTTTAGTTACATAAATCTTTAAAATTAATTCTAGGAATTCAATTTGATTACTGACTGCTTTTCTTTCTACAGCATTACATTTTATGAAAGAGGTTTGAACTTGTACTGATAGAGCATGTTAATCCTTATGTGTTCTATAGTCAGATATATATGTATATGGCTGAGAAACCATTCTACTCATCCCCCCAAATTTTAAGTAGGCAGAATGTATACGCTCCAGTTGAAATGTATTTACGTCTTGCCATTATTAAATTAAAAAATAGTGGCAAAGCCTCCAGAGAAATTTAAGCAGTAGCTTAAATGCTAAAACGAAAATTAGATCACTTCTAGGAAGTGTGAAATCCTTTAACAGGCTTAAGTGATCAAAATGCATGATGTGAAATACCTTGCATGTTCCGAGCAGAAGGTACACTCCTCAGTAGAGAGCCAATGCGCGTGATCCCAGCAACATCTGGAGCATGGCCTTTAAGTATCTGGAATAAATTGGATTAAAAGTCTCTTTTGAATTTAAGGGATAATTTGGATTTTGAAAACATTTTTTCATGTCCCTCAGTCCTTTGCCACCTAAAAGTCACCTTAGTGCCAATACAGGCTTCATTCTCATCTTTTGAGAGAATGAGAGGTACAAGTATGTGTTCAGCTACTATCTAGACACAGACTTGTACTGCATTTACATTTGAAGTCTGACTATGAATAGCAGTAGTCTACATAACTAAGAGTCTCTGCTACTCCAGACAGATGCATTTTCAAATGTAGACTTTTATATTAAATTATTTAAGAGCAAGGATATTTTAGAGTAGTGAAACATCAAAGTATGGTTCCATGCACACTCATATCAGAATTACATAGAAGATGCTTTTACAACTTGAGTTTTGGAGATCCCACTCAGACCTAATAAATCAGAACGTCAGTGATGAGGGGCTTGAGATGGAAGTACATAACTGAGAACTACATTTCAGGTAAATTCCCTCGATGATTCTCTTGCTTCCCACCCTTCATCTAGTAGACAGCCCAGTTCTCCCCTTGAGCTGCCTCAGAGCCTCTGGGATTCATGCCTCCACAAGAACAACAACAACAATAAAATAATTCCAGAATCTGAATTAGTGTAAGCCTTTAGTTCTTCATTAGAAAGAGAATCTAACGTGTAAACGTAGTGACTCAGCAAATCCATACTAATAAGGGTCTGAATCTAGGAAGTACTTAAATAATCACCAGGATAATTACAAGAAAGGTTTGGTCATGTTACTTGTTAATGTTTAGAAAATATCTTATCTTCGAGCACAGACCCAAATTATCAAACTTGTCTTGGTGTAGAATTAACCCCTAGTCGTTCGCAGAATGTAAAAGAATTTACAAGGATCTACAAGAATATCCAGAGAAAAGATTTATTGAAAGTCGGAGGGAGGGAGGGANTGATGCTAGTCAGTGACAGTATCTACTAAAGAGAAACTACACCACTGTAGGAGATATATGTATCCTATGAGAGTGAGAACTACATCTGTCTTTTTCATGTTTCAATGCCTAGTACAAGATCTGGCAAAAATAGGCATTTGCATGGTTCTTGAATGAATGAATGAATGAATGAATGAATATGTTCCGCTAATGAGATTAATACCAAACCCTCCTCACAGAAATTGATTAAGAATTGCAGTTACAGCTTTAGGTAGCGGGCTTTTTTTTTTTTCTTCTTTGATTACTAGCACCTTTCCCTCTTTCTTTTGATAAAAGCACCTTGATTTTCATATAACTAATATGTAACTGATTTAGTTAGGAAAGTAGTCATATGGGTACAACACAAAATAACTATTAGATTATCAATATGAGTCTGGTGAAATGATACTTTATATCAGTAATATTGATAGGACACGATAAGGTCATGATGACTGTTAAAAATCCCTCTGGCTCCACCCAGTTTAAATAACATCTTCCTTCACGTCTAGAAATACATGAAGGATAAAAACACTGCACACTGAACCATGTTGTCCCTGACAGACACAACAGATGGCTGTCAGTGAACCTATTGCAATCACTCCTATTCCTAGCCAATAGGTCCTGAGCTCTCGGCTGTTGATTCACAAACCATAACTCTGTCTGGAAATTGATGAATCCACATCCTGCAATGGACTGTCCCCCCTCTACAATTACCTTGACACATCCTTCCATATGGATCCCCTAAACACTGTTCAGCAGATTGAAGGGGGTTCTGTAGAAGTCAAAATAATTTATATCCAAATAGTGTCATAGACAAGGTTTATTTAGGAAGAAAAATAACCTTATCAGGCAAATTCCACCATAAAACTGTCTCAAACTATTGATGCAAAATTTTTACTTCAAAGGTAGAGATGAATTGTTTGATATAAAGTATCTCAAAGGTATTCAGTTAAATTCCATAGTGCCCCAATTCTCATTTCTCTCATTTTTAAAAAAGTGCCTTGAATTCAAGCTCTACTGATATAATATTTGAATAGTCTTCTAGTATTCACAGACTTTCCATCTAAGATGAGGTAGCAGGGACAAAAAGCAAGGAATCTAGAGATATCCCTAAATTCCTCCCCCATTTCTGGCCCTTTTCTCCAAGGATCAGTGCCCTTTTATATCAGGAGAGACTGTTTTTGTCTTGATTGTCACTTATTAATTATGGGTAGTACAGAAAGACTTTCCCGATTATCTGTGTTAGAAGAATCTGTATATATAGCACAGAAAGCCTCATGGATACCGCTATTATGCCACAAAAGTTCATTCTGCAGTTAGCATACAACTCAAATTTTCTTTTCTATGAAGATTCTGCTGATGATATTTTGGTTATTTAGTGGCAGAATACAAGACAAATCAGGTATTTCAACCATCCAAATAGAACTCAAGTAAAAACAAAGTGGAAGTGTGATAGAGGAATATTGTCCTAATCTTAAAAATGAAAAAAAAAAAAATAAACTAGACCATTTTTTTAAAAACGTGGATTGCTGCAAATATGAAAACATATTATATTTATATTAACCATTCACTCAGATCTGTTAGAAAACCAAGATTCTTCCNGAGAGAGAGAGAGAGAGAGAGAGAGAGAGAGAGAGAGAGAGAGAGAAACTGGCAAAAGTTTAGCCAGGACAGAGTCGGATGGGAGACAGCTGCACCAATGAGAAGCAGTGCTAGGGTTTTATATTTTTCCAAGCAGGATGTAGGGTGCTTGTCACTTTGCAGGGGGGCTGCCATTACAATCTTTTTCTCCTGGGAACTGTTCTGTTCCCACCTATAATGGATGTAAGGTGCTTGTCAGCTTGTAGGTGCAGTGCTGGCCAGGGGAGTCAGTGTCAAGTGGTTAATGTTTAAGCTTTTTCCTGTTAGCCCAAAAGCCCACTCAAGTTAACTCTACTTGTATCATCAAAACTGAAAATATAAAACATCTTGCAGAAGCAATACTTTAATTGACTCAGCAACATGTTGCCTTTGCATTTTGATTATTTCTAAGGGAAGTTGGTGTGTGTGTTTGTTTGGGTTGGAGGTGGGAGGAAGTGGTTAACTAAACATCTTCTAGCTCTTTGGCTTTGAAGTTGGGGCCACTGGTCCAAATTAATATGAGATTCGTGAGTCTAGGACCTGACATAAATTAGATTGAGCAAAAAGGAAAAGTTTAATGGAAATTGGAAGTAAATCCTATGGTATCTACACTGGGCTTTTTCACATGGTGCCTATTCCCAGCTGCATCATGATGATGACTTTCTCAAGAGTGAACTTGGCACCTTGGGGTTCTTTTGTGGGGAGGGGAAGAGGCAAGTTGAGATAGTGCATCATATTTTTTACTCTATTGACAGAAGACCAAACAATCAGTTAAAAATTACTAAATTATATAAAAATTACAATGAAATCTATTTAATTCTGAATGCAAATAAAATATACAGATGAGTGCCTGCAATTATTATATATATAAAATTGGGTCATCATAATTGTGTCTGTATGTTCGAGGGAGACTACACATGTGTGTCTCTAGCAGTTGAAACCCCACAATTATTTAGATTCTTGCTCAAGTCAAAGTATGGTGCTCTCATTTGCGGTAGCTGTGCCTCCTGGGAGCTTTTTAGAAATGTGGAATCTCAGGCCCCACCCTAGACTTGCTAAATCAGAATCTTCACTTTAATAACATCCCAAGATGATTCAAATAGACAGTAATGTTTTAAAAGCACTGATTTATGCCATGAAATAAATAACTGATTTGAAAAGAAGATTTTAAAATTCATATTTTATTTTGGAGGAATGAACAAGGTATTATGCCACAACATGAAATGATTTGAGATCTGGAGGGGGGTCTTTGAAACCATCTTACCTAATACTTCTCTTTTATTGATTAGGAATCTAAGGGCTCAAAATATGAAATGACAAGCCCAAGGTCATGCTGCTATTTAATCACGGAGCTAAAATGCAAGCTCAGAAATCTTTGCTTCCAATTCAAATGTGGAAGGAAAGCAAGATTCATGAAAATAGTAAGTGATATGTGAAAGACTTTTACAGGCATTTCATAACAGAAAGAAAACAAATGCAACTTTCTCTTTTGCATCACAAAAATATATACATTTGTTTGTTTTCTTGGTTATGTAATAATCAGAGAAAGTCACCATCTGTGCCTAGAAGTAGATTTTCTTTTGCTGGTTCTGCTGTCTGGACCCCATGTCTCCGACCTTGCCAGTCATTTTTAAATCCAGTTTGTTGATCTGATGAGCTGACTAAATACTATACACATTATTGTGGAAACAACAGGTTGCCAGGGATCAAGGGAGGAAGTCTCTCTTTTCAAGGTACAGAAGAGAGCTCAGAGAGTGGGGACTTGGATCGTGTTTTTCGATGGTGGGCAGCTATTAGTTAACTTTGCTGAGTCAGAGGCAACCTGGGCAAGCCCAGAATCCTCAGAGCAATTAAAGCAGGGTCCTAGAGAAAGAGGGTGACTCTCCAACACTGGAAAGTCTCAGTCAGGGTGCGCCTGAGGCAGTTTATAGTCATGCCAGTATGCTGTTTTTAAATGCTAATCTTTGCAATATGTTGATCAAGCTATAAGTGTAGCAGAAATTTCATGATGAAGAAAGAGTCGCAGAAGAGTAGCTACTGAGAAATGTAAGGGAATATTTTTTAAAATTTACTTAAAATATTTGCCAACACAAAAAAATAGATAAAGTAGATACAATTCTTTAAACATATTATGCTAGAATTTTAAATTCTTTTTCGTATGTAGTCATACTTTAAAAGTAGATATTGACAAAAATGGCTAAGTTGCCCCCTCATATCTGAATGAGTTATACCTAACCTCCTCTGGTGTTTTACCTCTAGTCATTTTAACTGCCTTACCTCCCAAGAGATTAAGGTACTAGGGGATATAGAACTGAGAGGTGGTGGGGGAGAAGGGGAGAAGACGTGGAAGAAGAATGGGAGAGGAGGAGAGGGGAAGGGTCAGAGAACTTTTTCTGAGTCAGCAATATCTGGGCTAGATCCC